TCAGCTGTCAGGGGGTAGTGCAATTAAGTGCCCCAACTTCCTATCAGCATCTGCTATTCCAAGTCGCTCATAGAAACTGTAACTTCGCAAGGCTGTACTTGACGATGCCATTCTTAATTTAGCAAGAACAACCTCCGAGGAATATGCGAGCTGCAGTGATAGCTGCCCGGCACACTGAACTGGGCTGTGGTGCAGGCGAATCACCTTGCGGTAACGCGGGTCACGTCTGCAACTCCATACCAGGACCTAATTGGTTTAGCATAGGAGTGCTGCTATATGTCAAGTCAACTACTCTATTGCGGTGCCGTATTTTCGAGCCAGTCCAATGCCAGGATCCGCAGTCCAATGCTAGCGTCGTGTTGGTACTACGTCCGATGAAACGTCATCGACCTCACAAAATGACAAAAAGACCCTTTGTGCACTATAGGAACCCTTCATTTGTTTCTTTGACCATTTCTCCTAGCTTAGGCAGAAAAAACACTCAAATATCTTTTCAAAAATCCCAAGGAATCCTCATTGTCCCTCACTGATCAGGTTCATTATGTCGTAAGGTTTGATTTGCATAAGGATAAAGATTTTACCGTTGACGAAACCCTCTTTGGGATGCGGCACGCATTCTACTTCAGTTCAGAATCGTAGTGGTTTATTTTGGATGCGGTGCAGCCTATGCAACAACTTTCGGAGGCCAGAAGATGTAGTCAGTGCTTTTGTCCTCCCTGGTATCAATTTTCAACTGGTATCTACCATCCCAGAGACTAGAAGGTTTGGTTGCATTACGCGGGAGCCGGTCCGGGATTTGACCCTTGGACTACGTGCTTGCTAAGCGTCCCACCTGCCACTACACCATCTCCATCTCTCGATTTGCATACCATTTAACTAGTATGAGACATCGTGATATGTCTTAACACTTAACATTATTCTGTTGGGCTGCTGGACTGCTGGGTGGCTGGACTAGCTCATGCCAGCTAAGTTCTGCGGCGCGGTCAGCGTGGAACGGGTCTGTGGATCTCGAGTTAAAGAACGCCGCTGTAAGCCACCGTGAGCCGTATAGTGCCGCTTTAAAGGCCGCTGATGGGGTGGCCTGCGGCTGCGTTTGCTACAGCGCAACACCCCGTTTTTTTTTACTTTTTTTTTTGCTGTTTCAGCAAGCCAGGGCAGGACTATACCTATCAGCAGCCTGTTTCACCTGTTGTAGTCACTCGCTTACACATCTGATGGAAAATGGATTTGGCTGCTTACCAAATGCAGCCGCGCAGGCACGCCCCTCGTCCGCAGCGAGCCATACTTATCAATTTTAACAGCGGTAGGACAGTCAGCTCATCCCCTGGCTGGTTATGATCCGTCCTTTCACATTCAACGCTTGCGGACAGGGGCGATACCAGTCGATCTGCTAACAGACCAATAAAAAAAAAACTCGGTGCTCGTCTTCAAAAAGCATTCGTAACCTGCTGTACCGGCACCATTCAAAACGCTCTATACCCTAGAAGCAACGACGCCACAGCCGCAGATTTGACTTGATGAAAAGCGCATACCGCGATCGCCTATCTGTTAATTCCGCGCAAACCCCGCAGGGCCTGTTTTGGAAGGCTCTGGCAATGGAATCCACCGCACCGCTGCCATTCTAGCCAATAAAGTCGGCCTCAGGGTAGAAAAAAAATCAAGTTGAGGAACCGTCGCGGGTGCTTACTGCGGTTACGGCTTAGGTAACACTCAAGCGAAGAGATCCTCAACCCGTGCACCTCGCGATGTTACAAGAATGATCGTTCCGGTGCCCTGAATATTACCCCATGCACCCCAAAATAAATTTCACCGGCCTTGGTCCACCTCTTCCCCAATCTCTCGCCCCCCCTACAGAACCCACGGTTAAAAGAGGGAAGGGTGGAGTGTGGCAGGTGATGCGATTCGGGTTCAGGTGGTAACGACAATACAGGAAATGCCCAAAAATCTCAGTGACAAAACCAAAATTTCCATGGCCTACAGATTAATGCAGACCCTCTCTGCAGGCCAAATACAACCCCCCGAACGACCAAAATGCAACCCATCGCTGAGTATTCCTCGCCCTACCGCGCTTTGAACTCATCTGATGGAGCAACATTTGTTCAAGTAGCATATTTAAAGGGGCCGCTTTAATCGTCCCATAAAAACTCTCGAAATCCCCGGTTTTCGAATACGGCCAATGCCTTTTCTACGGTCTGCGCATTGCAGGTTTGGACCGCCAGTGTAATGTATGACCTTCCCACGACATTACAGGATCGTGGTCAAAGGGCAATGCAACAATGAAAGCCGCACCTGTAATGTCATGGTGATAGCAGTATCAGAACAGTGTATTTTATGAAAACAAATGGATCAGAACGTTTATTGATGGTAACACGTGCGAAATGATCCTGCAGATAATCTGTTCTCCATCGTTTAGATCTTGGAGAAACGACGTCTGTAACCGCCCTGAGATTGATGTGTGCTCTCGACATCGGCAGTACGAGGAGGGCATGGGCAGTAAGCGGCATCGCTTCCAGGTAGACCTGGGCCTCCGGGCTGTCCAGGAGTTCCGGGTGCTCCAGCCTGTCCATCATTTCCAGCAGGTCCAGCAGGTCCTTGTGGGCCGCTCTGTCCTGGTCCTCCTGGCTGGCCGTTGGCTCCGGGTTGTCCAGCTGGTCCAGCTGGTCCGGATGGTCCTTGTGGTCCAGGTGCACCATGTCCTCGCTTTCCGTTCTGTCCGGGGGCTCCAGGGGCTCCGGGTGATCCAGGCTGTCCTGGCGCACCAGCATCTCCCATTGGGCCTGGAGGTCCAGGCTGTGCACCGTTTCCTGGTCCACCTGGTGCTCCAGGTTGTCCATCAGGTCCAGGAGCTCCTTGAGGTCCATCGGGTCCGGCCGGTCCAGGTGCTCCAGCTGGGCATGTGATGCATCCAGTTGGGGTCTTGGGGTTGAACATGGCCTTTCCTGGGGTACCGGCTCTTCCTGGCTCACCATTAGGTCCGTCTTCACCTGCAAGACCAGGTTTTCCGGGAGGTCCTGGAGGACCAGCAGGGCAGTTGTTAGGCTGAGCGGCACAACCGCAGTGTCCAGCAGCACGCTTGTCACGTCCGAAGATGGTTCCGACTTCAGTGTTTCCAGATGAGGCGGTTGGGATAACCATCTCCCTCCAGGCTTGGTTGGCAATCACCTGAAATTATCAATTTGACATTCAATTTTCTTTGGTCGCAAAGCCTGTGGCAACATCCGAAAGCAAGAACTCACCTTGAACTCTTGCATGTCACTCATGACGTCATCGTAGAAGTTGTTGATGTCCTGGAAGATGACACCGACGTAGAACAAGCTAGCGAAGATCACTAGAGCTGAGGCGCCAGAGGCGATGGTAGCGAACAACTTAGCACTCATTTCTGAGAACTGTCCTGGAAAGCGCCGCGTTAGGTATATATACGGGACATGGGCGTGATCATTTCGGCAATGGCCGTACACCGACATAGATACGATAACGCTTTCAAGGACAGTCGCACTTTACAAACTTTCTCGGATTACGGGTTTTCAAGGTCTTTGTTGTCGCGAATCAAAAGTGAGAAGTGGCGAATGCCGCATCAGATAACAGTCTCGTGCAGACCCTTTTTTTCAAATGTCTGGCCAGTTCTCTGGAACGAAAATTGGCTGTGCGAATTCGACCAACTTGATCTTTGGACTGAAGCGATTTACACTTAATTTTACACTCATTAAAGGCACACGACATTTTTTCTAGTCTATTATGGGCAACTAATAGCCTCTAGATCCATAACTGAGGTTTAGATCCGAGAGTGATACCCATTTTTGGCGCCAAGCACTAGAAAATGATATCATTCTGGCGTCCAGTGGTTGCCGAATATCTTTTGAAGGCGAAACTTCAGCAAAAAAAATATGAGTTTGGACTGGTAATTGTGGAATAATGGACAGGCATCAGTCGGATCGCCGGCTGTCGCCGGGCTCCATCCAATCTCTAGATGACCACGGCTCGGCTTGCGGCATGCGGATTTGCGCGTGCTAAGTCCGGATCGTTGCGAAGGAATCTTCTGGATCAGCCAAGAACTGAAAAGCAGTGATTGTTCGCGTCAGCTGCGCAGAAGCAAGCCAGCGGCGCGCCTCACGCCCTGATCAGCAGGAGGACAAAGCGGCCTTAGCGCCGATACCGACTCGGTAGGTTCATAACTACCAACGGAAATAAGTGAGGCAGACAGCTGTTTTTGGACAGACCATGAATAGAAGCCATCTAATTTAATGATCTCGAGCCTTCCTAAAACGACGTACTTGCTTTGGCACTTCACTACCCCCGCAATCCAGAGTACCTTTAATATGGCCTTCACTGAAGTTGCTGACGAGAAGGTGCTAACTTTGGTAGGAGTGATAAAGTCAGATTGCTGCTGTCATGGAGGTCTCTGTAAACAAAACCCATGCATTATGGAATCAGAGCTGGTTAAGCGGATCGTACAACGATGTGGTTACGCAATAGCAGTGAGGAATTGAAGTTTCTGTTTGGAATCAATGAGATGATTATACTTGAATCATATGGATTCGATTGTTTTGTTGTGAACGTGAAGCGGTTTTCGCATGCTAGACTCTGTCATTTTAGCTGCCTATCATCTTCCCGTAGTCCAGCCAATAAGCATAACCGTCCGTATCACTATCATAATCACCACTGTATCGAGCTTTTCGATCAGAGGTGCCATGTATGTGTACTGGGTCACGAATTTTGCATGACCCTCCATCTTCGAGGTTCGCTTATCGATCTTATCAACTGTTATCAGCTTCTGCAGCGCCCTACGGCATATAGTACTTGAAATATGGTCGCGTTGTAGCAACTTGCAGAATTCCGTACCTCCGCTTATCGAATCTTATAAGTGTTTATCACCCTGTACGGCACCAAGTGTTCCCGTCCTGCCATGTATATCACTCCTTGAAATCACGGTCCCGCAGCTGCTGCATTTTGCGCTAGATGTTGGTCACCCCCCCCTTCTAAGGCGGACTTGATCGAATGTATGCAAGTGTAATGCACTCCTGTAAGCACGTAAGAGTGTTTCCAGTTGGCAGTGTTTCATTCTTAAAATGCACGGTCGCTGCAGCTGCTGCAATTGCGATAGATGTTAGGTACCCCCCTTCTAGAAGGCGCCTTATGAATCTTAATCAAGTGTCGATCACCTCTCTGTCACCATAAAAGTTGTTCTCTGCCATTGGTATATAACTCCTTGAAATCAAGGGTTTCCACACTGCTGCACGCTTGCGCTACGAATTAGATCATCTCGCGCCCTTCTACGGGCTTTATCGTATCTTATAATGTTATCATCTCCTAGAACCCACCAAAGTGTTCCTGTCTGGCATGTATATAATTTTCGAACTGGTCATCTATTTTTTGGCGCGTGGCTATGAATTTCGATGAACACACAACACACACAAACACACACATTCGCCACAGACCACACAAGACACACATAGCGGATTATATAGTAGGATATTTTTTGGTGATATGGCTTTATGCGTGTTGCGGTTGTTCGATAGGATAGGTAAGGGTGAAAGGGTAGGTTCGCGTGGATGGTCTTTCTGGGGATGCGGAAACATCTACTTCATCACAAGCGTTGCGTGAGATTTGAATATGATATAGGCCTATGCACTAGTACTTGGGGGGGGGGGGATGGGGTAGTTTTTTGCCCCAGACGATGTTCAATTTGACTTGTCTAGATATGGAAGATTTGGTTTTGGTTTTGCTTAAGCTGGCGAGTTTGACGCGAGATGTGTTGATTCGCGGTCATTTGGCAAATTATCTTTCTACTCTTTCCACAAAAAGTGGTGGCCAATTTGGCACCACCACCTTTTTGACAACTTAGGTGCAGACTTATGGGTGCAATCGTGGGTCGCGATCACGACCAGGATAGCCATTTTTGGCGCTGGAGTCATTTGGCGTTCATACTCGCCAAATTGGCCTCGTAACTCTTTTCACCCGAACTAGTATGAAAATGTATATTAGGAATACTTAAACTCCTGTTTTCGAACTTCATTTTTGGCTCCAGCGCTAATGTAAGGCACTCTGATGTTCTCACATGGAATTCATTTAAAAAGCACCTACAGTGCCAAAAAACATTGAAAAAAAAACATGGAGCTTCTTTTCAGAGAGTTTTTGATTTGAGTTCAAATATAATAGAATGAGCTGTCCTGAATTTACAAATGGAATATTCTCGAGAATAGTCGCGGATTATTCACACACTTATTTGTTTGAGAACCACTGAATTTTAAAACCCTTTTTAAACCGTGGAAAACCCTTTTTAAACCACTGAAAAAGGTGGCTTTCATGGTTGTTCTACAATTTTTTTGGCATTTTATGTTGTCACTTGAAAAAGGGATAGTAATAATTTTCAGTCCACTTTGAGAACCTAGTAAGTGAGTGAGTAGTGAAGGTCGTTTTGAGGTTCAAGGCGGGGAAGTCAAAGTTCCTGCAAGAACTTCACATCTTTTTCTTGCTTCCATCACTTCCTAACATAAGTCGTGACCGCCTAAGGTTACTAGTTGAAAGCATGACGCCATTGCTGATGTAACAAGCGCTATGCGCTTGATGGTACTCGTAATTCTGACAGTCCTTATCAGCTCTTACAAGCTGATATCAGCCTCACCAATCATCGATGTCCCATCGCCCTTACCCTTTCACTTCGTGAAACCAATTTTCCACTGTTGCTATGGCACGCGCTATGGATCTACTAACCTCCTCTTTCTAATGCTCCTTATCGACCCTTATAAGTCAGTATAATTTCTTGTCACCCAGCATCAGTGTCTCCGTGCTATTCCCTCCGTCATTTCTCAGATCCAATGTTCCACGGCTGCCTAGGCACCAAGTGCCCGCTGATTCCTTCATTCCATCATCCCTTATCAGTCGCTAGCGGTAAAGCGGCAGTAGGGCTACCCAGTAGGAAGAGAGGATGGTTGAAAAGCAGCAGAACAGGACTATGCTCAATGGAGGCCCTAGCAAACCTTGTTTAGCAAGCAATGACCGTGTTCGCACGAGATTACAGGGGAACAAGAAAGGCGCACTGCTCATGGATCGCCTCATAAATGTTCAGGTGAATAGAGAAGTGGTACCGTAGGCGTTTACTTCGGGCAACTCTCTCAATCCTTACGTGTTCTAAAGTCGTCAGATCGACGCGAGTTAGATCCCGTTCAGGGCACCTCCTTTGGGTCGCAGACCATTCCCACCATTCTTACTTATCACTTTTCCAACTTCCTACCATTTTTTAGCCCACACTTTTTCCAAAAAAGTTTTAGAGTTCACCTTGGTGGGCGAATGACCTCCAAGGCGACCATAATTTTCGACGATCGGCACAGCATTTTGCATAGTTGTTGACAGCGCTCCCGAATTAGGAGGGTGGCTAGCGGACCCTCCTCTATCTCGAAGCACGACCAAATAGAACGTCGCATTAGGGGTTCCCGCGCGTACAACGTGCCCTGATCCCAGTGGACCTGACGATCAAGTGTTCCAGTCGTGGAAAAACAGAGGTTTCCCGTGAATGAGTAGTGAAGATTGCCATCAGGTAGACAGCTTCGTTTCTTTGACAGGAAAAGATTGTCGCCGTCCGAGATCAGAGCGTCCGCTTCAGAAACCTGTACGCGTTTGACTGAAAGCTGGAAGTTACATACTTGTTTTGGACTGTCACCAATAGCTTTCAGCCTTATGAGTTCTATGAATCGTGACAGTGGAGGCTGTGGAGGAAGGCTTGCTCCTGCTCCAGAAATCGAATCTGTAGGCAGCATTCCCATTGGAACTTTCATGTGTACGTTTCGACCTCAGAACGGAATGCGCAATGCCAATGTTGGACCGCTTCCTTGCACTCCGCCACGTCTCACGTTAAGTTCCAGATTAAGTCTCAGCATAAGTCAAGCAATGCCTGGGCTGTGCTTTGATGAGGCGTGAGTTATGTCGTTTTACAGCTCCGAATGGAGGTGAAGTGAATGGCGTATTCGAAGAACATAAACAGTCTGCTCCCGTCTGGGTAGATTTCCGTGATTCAGGCTCAGAAGGAGGCGAAGCTTTCTGAACGAAAAAAAGTTTCTGTAGCATACTATATTGCAACTCCAAATAGTTCACATGGCGGGTAAGATGGCCAAGATCTTCGTGAGGAAGAGAATATTTGCCGCTCAGATAGTTCCACGAGCGCGAATTCTATTTTTCCTTTCAGGCCTCGAAGGCACGTCGCGCTCATTGGAGACGGTAAGGCTTCGCTCGCCGAGTTGGGCCAGCTCAGCGTTTAGAATTACTAAGTTGCATTTTATTTATTTATTTATTTATTTTATGTAGTGAAAGAGTGTTATAAACAGGTACCCTGGCAGAATGACCGTAGTAAGTCACGAATGCTAGAAGGTGTGGGCGGCGAAAA